TATGAGAGGAGAGCAGGGGATGTGGGAAAAGAGGGAAGGAACAGCCAGATGAAAATGCCGTAATAAACCCTGAAGCTTTTTATGCCAACTAAAATGAAAATTAATCTGTATGTGTACACAAAGATCACTATAAAATCATGAGCCTTTCGTTTTTGCCTGCGGGGGAGGAAAGAGCCTCTTTCTGTAGCCCACATTGGTCTGGAATTCACTATTGTCCTGCTTCAACTCCCCAAGTATTGTTAGGGTTATAGGCAGGCAGCACCAAACCTAACATGAAAGTTTTTTTGTGTGTGGGTCTTAGAATATAAGTGTCTAATATGAAAATGTCTAATCTGATGTCATGTATGGGAATCCGTTCTCTTGTGCTTTGTACAAGTGACATGGAGTAGGAGTGGCTCGTTTTCATAGCAGTACTGGGCAAACAGTATGGCCAGTTTTATTTGAAGCATTCAGTGTGCATGCGCAATGGCACGATAGAGGACTGTCTTTTCTTGCCTCTCAGTAACTGTTCTAGTTTGCCTTTAATTGCTGTGACAAACCACTCTGACCAATACCACCTTGGAGAGGAAAGGGTTTATTTGACTTACATCTCCCGGGCCACAGTTCATCACTTAGGAGCCCAAGGTAGGAAGTCAGGGCAGGGAACCTGGAGGCAGGAGCTGGAGCACAGGCCATGGAGGAATGCTGCTTACTGACTTGCTCTTCTGGCCATGCTCAGCCTGCTTTCTTATACAATACAGAACAACCTGCCCAGCGGTGGCACTGCCCACAGTGGGCTCCCACCTCACTCAGCAATCAAGAAAATACCCCACAGACATGGCCACAGGCCAGTCCAATGGAAGCAGTTCCCCAATAGAGGCTCTTTCAGCCCAGGTGTGTCAAGTTGACAACTAAAACCATTCAATACAGAAACTTCTCACATGACACTTATTTTGACACTGTAAGAACAAGAATCATATTCCATTGTCTATAAAAGATAGTCTCCATCTTATGGAATGCACAGGTCCTCCCTGCTGTGTCTTCTGCTGGTGGAAGCAGGCTCATTCTGCAGGACCATGTTCTAGCCTCCTTCTCTAGTACAGCCGTCAACATGGTGCTGCTTTGCTCTGTTCATGGACTATGTGGCTGCTGTGTGGCTGGGACTTCTTTTTTCTTATTGAACCAGATCAGGTAACAGGATTTTAACCTTTCCTGGATTGCAAATGGTTTCTCTTGGAACCTAAGGCCTACTGGGTCCTAGCTAGTTCTTCATTTGTTGGGAATTTCTCCAGCTCTACACATGACCCAGAGTACCTTATTCTTCTTTCCTCCTGTGGACGAAATGTTCCTTTCAGACTCATTCACCTCTCCTTTTTTCCCACTAGTTAGCAGGTTCTGGGAGGATTCTGATCCTAGAAAAGGCCAGCTTTATGCTTATCTGGAAGAGCATCAAAGCATTATGTACTGTAACAGTATGGGTCAACCTGTGGGATTTTTTTTTTAATTACAAAATATTGACATATAAATACTTTTCCATGTTCCCTTTTTTTTCCCTTCAAATAGCATTTATTGTATTCTCTGTAACCTCACATGTGATCTTGTTTATTGGGAAAACATACAAAATATATAAAACTGCAAAAACAAAAATTATGAGTGTTCCTACCACATAGAGATGATATTCCAATGTTAGGGCTTTGTTTTAAATCTTGAATTTTAATGTCTGTGTTATGGCTCAACAGCATTCTAGAAATGGAAAACCATTATTTTACATAAACTGTTCCACAAAGAAAAATTGGTGCTGCTTGCTAATTTAATGTTGTATTTACTAAATTCTTTGCCATTAAAGGAAAATAGTGTTCACGAACCTAAATCTATACAAAGCTTGTTTTTCCCCTAAGAGCTTAAAATTTACACTGGAAATTTCTTTTGTAAAAAGCTCATTCTAGTAATTAGAGACGATTATTGTTTTTCATCTTATTTCCTCAGGTGACACTCCAGCTAAAGGTGCCCAACGTGTTTTTAGGGTTACCCTCAAGTTCATCATGATAAATTGTTGATGCTCAGACTATATCTCTTGAGAGATTCTTTTTAAAAAAATTATTATTATTATAGTCCAAAAGTTTTCAGACATAGTGCTAGATTTTGAGTGCTCAAGCTGGAACATTTAAAAAACTTAACCAAGCTGGGCATGGTGGCTCATACCTATAATCACAGCACTAGGGAATTTGAAGCAGGAAGATTGCTCAGGCTTGAGGCCAGCCTAGGCTACATTGTTTCTGGCCAGCCTGGGTTAGACCTTGTCTCAAAAAAACAAAACAAAAACCAACCAGGTATAGCATAACCCTAGGTTCATTTTCCAGCACCACAAAACAAACAAATGAGCCAAATATGAAGTAAAGGATATCTACTTTCTAGGAGACTTTGAAATGCCCTGGAAAGCAGTTTACAAAGTCAAGTTCCAGAGTCTTGTCCTAGTACAGACTGAATATGCTGACAGAAGAGGGGAAAGGGAATAATTCAAAAAGGAGATGCATGAAGTAATTTTGCTACATTTAAAAATATTCTTTGAGTCTTAAAATTTTATTTATTTATTCGTTTATTTATGTTCATGTGTGCATGCCCACATATGTGTGCACATGCAATCATGAGGCACAGTACATTTGTGGAGCTCAGAGGACAACTTGTAGGAATCAGTTCTCTCCTTTTTCTTGAGGAAGCCATGCAAGTTGAACACATGTTGTCAGACTTCGTTTTTTTTTTTTTTTTTTTTTTTTAAGACTTGGTTTGTTGAATTTTCCAGAAAGAACTCCTTAATGTTAACATAACATTACCTTTGTTCGTATTCTTTTGAAGGCTTTTTGTGTCTAGTTGATATGACCACACCAGTCAGTATAAAATTCCTGTTCCACGGGTTTTTTTTTTTTTATTTGTTTCTAGTGGAATTCTTGGAAAATGTGGCTCCAGGGCTCTTTTTTTTCTCCCCTATTTGTTTAGAAGCCCTGGCCTTGAACTCACAGTCTCTTTGCCTCAACCTGCCCATGCTGGATTATTGGTGTGTGCCATGACTGGATTTGCATGTTGTTTTCAAGAGTCTAATGCCAGTCTAATTGCTTTGGCAATATTGTATTCAATAGCTTTATTTGGTCATCTACTTGCTCTAATTTATCTTTAGAGGTTGTAGTGGACTCCATAGACTCTGTCAACGGTTACTGTTTTTAGCTCTCATGAAACTCACTCAGTGCCTAAGATAGTAGGATCTTGTGAAAAGACATTGCTGGGCATCTCACAGCACCATCACTGTGGGACGTCCTTGGTTCATGTTCACATCCAGAGCTTTCCTTGTTGCCCAGGGGTGTGGCACCTGACTGCAGGTTTCCACAAGGGCTGGTTCCATCTGTCTGGTCCTTGTCTCAGTGACTTTGTGCTGGATGTTTTTCTTGGTTTGTGCTTTTCTCTAGAGTTTTATTTAGGAATTCCTGTCTATTTTGTTACTTCCTCTCTGTCTTTAGCAATTTCTGTACTTTTTAGTTTGATGTTTGGCTCTAATCATCCAATACAACATTACCCAAAATGACAATTCAGTTTTCAGTAAAACAATTCATTTTTTTTCCTTGGGACTCAGATGGGAAGAATAATGGCCATTTGTTCATTTCTCTCTCTTGATCTAGTCTCCTTGTACATAAAACTGATTTGCTATGTCACCAAAGATGGAGATGTTCCACTTTGTGTGTGTGTATTGTATGCATGTGTCTGCACATATTTGCAGAGGCCAGAGATTGGCATGGAGTATCTTCCTCTATTACCCTCCACCTTAATTTTTGAGATAGAGTCTCTCCCTAAACCTTAAGATCCCTGATTCAGTGATTCTCCCTCACTGATTCAGTCAGACTGACTGGCCAGTGGTCTCCAGGGATCCTCCTGTGTCCGCCTCCCTAGCAGTGGGATCACAGGGACATGTCACTATGCCTGCCTTCTTGTGTGGATACTAGGGATTGAAGTATGGTGCTCATGGTTGCATATAGCAAGCATTCACTTACTGAGCCATCTCATCAGCTCTGGATGCTCTATTATTGGTAAACCATCTTATGATTGATAAGAACTGATTAATGATGATAAGGAAATTTTGTTGAGTTGTCGCACTGTGAGAGGAACTCTGTGTGTGTTTTCATGCATTATCTATCATAACACCTATGAATTTAGCATAATCCTATTTTATGTGTCATAACCCAAGGCTCAGCTACCATATAACTTGCCTAAGTTTGTATAGTTAGGAAGTGGCAGGAATATGTGTGAGGTCCTATGCTGGCCTTTAGAAATAGTGTTAAAATTCCAGCATGCTGGGCTGGAGCGATGGCTCAGCGGTTAGGAGCACTGACTGCTCTTGAAGAAGACCTGGGTTCTATTCCCAGCACCCACATGGTGGCTAGAACTGTCCTTAACTCTAGTTCCAGGGGAATCCGAAGCCCTCTTCTAACCTCCACGGCATTGCATGACATGGGTACATTCACATACATGTAGGTAATACACTCATACACATAAAATAAAAATAATAAAAAAATTTAAAAATTCCAGCATGCTTCCTGTCTTCATGGACTTTATAGGATTTAATTCTTAAGCTGTAATTTTGTACCTAGTCTTAGATTACACTGTAAAGATCCTGTGGGACAGGTAGGGATATTATTTTAGAGTCTCAAAACCTGGCATTTACATTAGAATTGAGGATAATGTCTCTTGTAAGGAAATGACTATAAGTTCAGGCAGATGTAAAAGATATCAGGAAAGATCAGAACAGTGTCTTTTGATTGCCCAGAGACCCTCCACCCAGTATAGTTGTGTAGTTCAGCTTTTCTCAAAGTTGGTATAAAGTGTTTGTTAATTTTAATACTGTGTATTAACTGAGCGATGTAATTCTTATCCCCATGCTGTAACTGGAGTGGTATTAATTTTACTAGAATTTCTATCTTGTATGATACTGACCAGGATCCTGTTTTATGCATTTCATTATTATTTGTGGTTTGCAGTTATTTGCTGGTGTAAAAGATGGAGAAAGCCTGCAGCTCTTCGAACAGAGTTTTCGCTCTGCCCATAAACAAGAAACACACACCATGGAGGCCATGAAGCTTGTAGAGTTTGACCTTAAGCAAGTGCTGACTAAGCTTGTGTCACATCTTTTTGGAGATGGTAGGTATTGACTTACCTTTGTCTCTTGAGGCTTAGTATTCCAATATGTACAATACTATGCAGCAAATCATTGAGTCTGACTGTATCTAAGGTTTTTGTTGTTGCTTTGTTTTTGTGTGTTATAGGTTGATGGGAGAGAACCTTTGTATTTCTTGGTTCATTCTACTTGAAGTATAGGAGGATATGGAAATGGAATCAGCTAGAGAGAGAAAAGAGATAGTGGATCAGATCAGTGTTATGTGTGGAAAGTATACCAGCTGATTAGTTTGGTTTTGTTTCTGTACTCTTACTAGATCAGACTTGGTCAGTGGATAAGATTCTTAACCATGTGAATTATCCCATGGCAAAACGCTATATATTGGCATACAGATTACACTATCAATAGCAAAAAAATATTGACAGTGATTTCTTAAGGAAGAATACTATTGTTAAGATTTTGTTTCTCATTTATTTGCCTTTAAGTCTTCCTCCAAGAAAAAAACATTAATTGGCGATGCCCCCTGCTGTAGGAGCCACAGTCACTGTTCCTAGCTGGACTTCTGTGCTCACTGATCTTGGGTCACCTGAGTGCTTTCATCCCTCTAGGCTCCCCACTCCTTACACAGGAGCTCAAATATGTGTTTAAAGGGATTCTTGTAATTTATTAAGGCTTTGTGGGTCTGTTTTGCTGCCATATCATTATGCATAATTCATATACTATTTAAGAAGCCACTAAATAATTCTATGTATTCTTTATATAGAATACATTTTTTTTAAAATCCATATCAGATTCACCTTCCCATCTCCCCTGCTGGCTCTCCTCCTAGTTTGGGTCCTGTCCTATTCCTTGTCTTGGGGCCCCTGACACCTGGGGAACCACTACTGCTTCCTGATCCTTTTCATCCAGACCAACTCAGTGCCTTCTCTGGTCCCCAGGAGCACTGCTTCTGGTCCTGAACCCACCCTAACCTCCCTCTGCTTCCCTGGGCCTGCAGGACCCGAAGGCCTCTCTCCAAACCTCAGGCCTCTCTCGCTGGTAAGTCCATCACGCCCTCAGCACCTTGACTCCCCCAGCCTCATTCAGTCTCCCATCTCCCCTGCAGGTCTCTCCTCCTAGTTTGGGGCCTGTGCTATTCCTTGTCTTGGGGCCTCAAACACCTAGGGAACCCCTACTGCTTTCTGATCCTCTTCATCCAGACCAACTCAGTGCCTTCTCTGGTCCCCAAGAGCACTGCTACTGGGCCTGGCCCATCCTCACGTCCCTCTACTTCCCTGGGCCTGCACCACCCACCAGCCTCTTTCCAGGATGCGGTGCTGACCTTTCCTCTTCCTGATCAGACCAACCCAGCTCCTCAGTGCAGTCCCCAGGAGTCCTTGGGGCCACTTCCTGCCCCCATCTGCCTTTGCATCTCTGGGTGGCATGACCACCAGCTGCCCTAGACCAGCATCTTTTCTGGGCCTGGCTCCCAGGCCAGTCCAACCCCCAAATTCCTGAGGCCAGAATCTTTCCTGGAGGGATCCAGACCTTAGAAGAAAGCCTGAGAGCATCTGATCCTCATTTGACTTGGGCCTCTGTGGGAACTACTGAAGAAAAAAGCAAACTGGCCACTCCAATATAAAATCAAAAGAGAGAATCAAAATCAT